GAGTATTCATGACCCAACCGGCCTCCATGAATTGACGTTTAGCTAGGTGGGCTCTACTATTATCGCAATATGATCTGTACTTCAAGCAACAAAAATCATTTAAAAGACGAGCTATTTGCGATCTTTTGGCGGAAAATCCTACGAAAGATGTAGTGGAGTTGTACGACGATCTGCCGGATGAAACTCACGAAGTTAATGTCACCTCACATCAACGAGTGTGGCAATTATACTTCGATGGGGCTTCCCGAGCAACCAACGTGGCGAGCGCGCCCGGATGTTCTAAAATCTCCTCAGGAGTGGGGGTCGTTTTAGTTTCCCCGGGAAAGCATGTCTTACCTAGAGCATCCTCGTTGACCGAACCATGCTCTAATAACGTAGCCGAGTACAACGCATTGATAATTGGACTCAATTTTGCCAAAGAGCTGGGGGTCAAATACCTTGAAGCTTTTGAAGATTCTCAATTGGTAGTTAATCAGATTCGAGGAGAGTATGAAGTCAGAAATCGAGACCTGATTCCATACCACCAGGTGGCCATCGAGATGGCAAGCTCGTTTGAAGAATTTTTCATCGAGTACGTTCCGCGTCTCCAAAATGCATACGCAGACGCATTGGCGGCATTGTCGGTATCTCTGGCTCAGCCTCCCGAGACAGAGCAATTAATTACAGTGAGAACTCACCAACTTATTGTTCCGATCTACGACTCGGTTGCCAAAGAAGCATATTCAACAAGAGTTGAACCCGAAGTTCGAGATTGGCGTTTCCCTATTATTGATTATGTCCTACACGGTATCTTGCCGGAAGACGTGAAAGAAAGGGATTCGATTCGGCGGAGAGCACCGAGATTTTACTACAACGCTGAATCACAAATGTTGTACTGACGGTCGTACGACGGTCTATTACTCCGTTGCCTATCCAATAAGGAAGCAAAACAAGCACTCAAAGAGGCGCATGATGGGACGTGTGGTGCACATCAACCCGGTCCTAAACTCTGCGACCGACTTAGGAGAATTGGATATTATTGGCCAACTATGGTAAAGGATGCAGTTGACTACGCTCGACGATGTCAAGTATGTCAATTACATGCAAATTATATGCACCAGCCTCCAGAGCATCTACACCCGTCAGCAACGTCATGGCCGTTTGAGACCTGGGGAATGGATATTGTTGGTCCTATAAATCCCCCGTCAGTCAAAGGTGATCGGTTCATCCTAACAATTACCGACTACTTCTCCAAATGGGCTGAGGCAGTTCCACTCAGAGAAGTTAAAACGAGTAATGTTATTACATTCATCAAGCACCATATCATCTACCGGCATGGTGTCCCAAGACGAATCATACATGACAACGGTCCTCAATTCGTTAGCAACGCCTTCATCAGGTTTTGCGAGAAGTTTAAAATTCAGGACATTTCGTCGACGGCTTACAATCCCACAGCAAATGGATTGGCTGAAGCCTTCAATAAAACAATCATAAAGCTCTTGTCAAAACTCGTGAAAACTAATAAATGAGATTGGGATGACAAGCTTGGCGCAACTCTATGGGCCTATCGTACCACGGTACGTACACCGACGGGAGCGACCCCGTATTCGTTGGTATACGGATGTGAAGCCGTTCTTCCATTGGAAATACAAATTCCATCTCTTCGGATTGCTCTCGCAACCCAGATGACAATCTAAGAACAATATCAGAAACGTCTCGAAGAACTCGAGATGCTCGACGAAAAGCGTTTAGAAGCTCAACAGCATATTGAGTTCTACCAAGCCAGAATTTTCCGAGCTTTCGACAAGAAGGTTCGACAACGGAGTTTTAATGAAGGAGATTTGGTCCTAGCTGAAAGACGGCCTATGATCCTTAACTCCAAGAAGAAAGGAAAATTTGAACCCAAATGGGAAGGACCGTTTGTAATAAAAACAGTCTATTCAAACGGTGCTTACCGCCTGATTACCCAGGATGGCAATAAATTAATGATGCAAATAAATGGGAAGTTCCTGAAAAAATATTATCCGTAATACGTTCAGGATAACATATGCAAAACGGGAAGTTCCTAGAGAATCCTGTATAGGATATTTCGGGATAACCCGAGATCAGTTAATTGTTCTAAATATGAAACTGATCTTTCAAATAATATGTTTTTGATTATCATAAAGTTCTTTTACAGCTTTTGTTGAGATGAGATTCAAATCTGTAAACAGTTAATCTTTCCTCACAAAACCCCTCACCGATCAAATAGATAGATGAAGGGTACACCAAAATCCAGCATGGATTAAAATCATTCAAACCACCACTGTGCCTAAGCCTTTAACATTCCCACTGTTGAAGTCTTGACACGACATCCAAAATTTCAATCAGTTGATCCATATTGATTATCAAACCCTTTCGTGTTAAGTCATTATCGCTTGACACCAAAAACTCCCATCAGTTGTTGTGTACAAGTTAACATTCCCATCGTTATTTGTACCCAATTCCCACTGCTCATTTGGTCAAACCTTTAAACAGTTAGGACCAAAGCCAAAATCCCCTCTCGATTCCTTCAATGAACGAGAGGCCCACAAATCGAGCGATCAAACCTTCCTACAGTTAGGATCGTCTCAAAACTCTCACTTGGTCAAACCTTACTACAGTTAGAACCACAACCAAAATCTCCTTTCGATTCATTTTGTGAACGAAAGATCCACTTTTGAATTGAATAATCAAACCTTATGACAGTTAGGATTATTCAAACCAGTCCAGATTCTCTAAGTGGAGATCCCGCTTTGAGTCTCTTTTGTAATAGAAGATAGAATATAAAATTCTTCCTCTCTGATTTTGGGTTTATCTCTACCAACAAACAAGGGACTAGGAGATAGAATATAAAATTCTTCCTCTCCGATCTTGGGTTTATCTCTACCAACAAACAAGAGACCAGGAGATGGAATATAAAATTATTCCTATCCGATTCTAGGGTTTATCTCTACCAACAAACAAGAGATCGAAAGATAGAATTCCCAATTCTTTCTTTATAATATCGGGTTCGTTATCCTATATAGGAAACACAACCTATTTACTTTTTCAAAAGCCATGTCATTTACGCATGGAGGATATTATCTCTATCCCTTATTAGAGATAAGCCTACATCTAACACATGTAGCCTACATATTCAACATTGTAGTTCAAAGTCTAAAAGAGTTTAATTCTTTTAGCGCAATGTTATATGTGAAACGGACTTAGATAATTCACATACTAGCCCGATTCAAACGGTAGTCGGTAAAGGCATATCAAACCCGTTGATGGCTGAGGATTTGCCAAAAATTCTATGAGTATTATGGCTATTTATTCTAAACAAGAATGAGTAACCATAATTAAAATATCAATGAGCAAAAAAGTTCACTATACTAACCAAAAGAGTTCAAACAAAACAGCATAAAAAGAAATGTATATTCCCAAAATTATAATAGTTTGTAATGACGAATTTGTTCCTCTAATTGGGAGAGCTCTGTTACATAAGCTAGTTCGAGCTCGGGTATCAAGTTGGCTTTAAAGTTTTCTTCATCCACGCTTCGAATGCTAGCGACCTCTTGCTTCTTATCAGCAAAAATCTTGCCTTGAAGATTCAACTCATCCACGCTTCGAATGCTAGCGACCTCTTGCTTCTTATCAGCAAAAATCTTGCCTTGAAGATTCAACCGTCGAAACAGATCCACCTCGGCTCGGGTTACCTCCGCCAGATCGGACTCCAACACTTCACGCACATCCCTAGCTTTGGCAAGTTGCTCTTCCAGACAGGCTATCTTTGCTTGACTCGACTCTAAATCACGATACAGGTCAACCTTGATCTTTGTTTTCTTGGCGACGCTCTCCTTAAGTTGATCAATGCGGGTTTGCAGCCTTTGAAGTTCAGACTCAGCGGATTTCTGAGAATCACGCCATGCTTGCAACCTCAAGTCCATTCGAGGAGCAATATAAGAAGACACGCCGTTAACACGAAGATTCTGCAGATGTTCGGTGTTTTGTTTAAGGTTGGCTAAATAAGCTTCGATCGAGTCAGATAATTCGGTGCATCCATGTTCTCTAATTCCTGATACATGGCGATCGAGAGATTTCCTAAAATGTTCGAAAGGTGAACCTTTAAGGAGAATTCGATCAACCATGATGTTTAAGAAAAGGACGAAACTTTGGACGTCAGCGCAAATGACAGCTTTGTCCGGATCTTCATCTGCTAATAAAGCTTGAATATGCTCGGACAATGATGAAGAAAGAGCTGCAAAGAGAACAAAGGGAATAAGTACAAAAAAACATGTGTGCTCGCTGGAAGGCTTCACAACCGAGTTACCTTGCTTTGTTGAGGTTGTAACAGGCTCTACAACAACTGGGATTTGCTCAGAAATAACACTCGTCTGTTGATCCACTATATCATACGGTTGTCCACTTGAAGCCCCCAATGGCTTCGGATCCAGATCTATGAATCCTTGAGGAACGAGTTCTATAAACGAGAAAAAGATGAATAAACATTCTACAGGTATGAATCCAACTACAACGCACATTAACGGTGAAACATACCAAGTTGAATGGAAGGGGTAGTAGGTTGTTCTTCTGCAGTGGCCATCGACCCTCCAACTTCATGAACAGCCGGTGACGGATCCTAAGTCACAGCAGGTTCAGTCTCGACAGTGTCAGAAGTCGAGGGAACAGTAACTGGCGGTTCAACTTCAGCTGGGGGACCTGTCAAAAGCAGGAAACCCAAACCTTCAGGTTGATCGCATTCACCAATGACAGTAGATGCATCAACTTCATTCGTTGGTCCTACATCTAAAATTCTTATTTTAGTCATCAAAAAAAAAAAAGAAATAAAAAAAAACTTAATTGAGGACTTGAATCCGAAAGTACGTACCTTCTGATGCGCCTACTTCAGCTGAATCGACTCTAGTAGTTGGTCCTGCAGTAGCGGTCGGATCCGGAGCTGACAGTATATCGGAGATGCGCTGATGTTCATCTTCGGAAATATCAAGATTGAAACCATGTTCGTTGAAATCTCCAATACCCATATCATGGGTAAGTCCTTGATCTCTCGGCTCATTGGCAGGGATATCTATTAAGCAGAAGGGTCCGTCAATAAATATACAAGAGTATGAAGGGATTAAAGCAAATAAAACTAAGATTACCTTCAGTGAGAGTTACGGGATCAGCAGCGCTACTACTCGCACCTACCTCCTTTAGTTTAACTAAAAGAAGATAAAGAGCACAAGTTAGTAGAAGAGGAACATATTCCGATTCACTTATCTCCCGAAAGTACCCTCCAAATGAGGAAGCACATGTACCTGTCTCAGTGGTTGGTGAAGTCGGTGCAGTAATTGGAGGAGCGGTGGTGCCTAGGCCGACGGGTTCTTCACTCATCGCTCTGTGTACTTGTTGAGTGAAACTAGATTCATCAACATCCATTAAACCAGGAGAAGAAGGCTCAGGCATAATTTCCCCTTCCTCTTCTGGCTCAACTGCCATAACAAAAAGAATAAATAAGATTCTATATTTAAAGATAAGATGATAAAAAGATGCAAGAATGAGATTGTACCTCCCTCATCGACCGGAATATCCTGAGTAGACTCCTCTTCGAACAATGGGGAAAGTTTACGTTGTCGATGGGCCGTCTTCTTAATCCTCTTCGATACACGAGTATCTCGAGGAACTTCAGAACTCTCGTGACGGAATTTGGTGCGCAGTTCAGACCCTTGAACAGGACAGGATTGAGCCTCGGAAGAAGCAGGAGATCGGGACCTCTTTCTGCCAACAAGTGGAGTGACATCTTCCTCTTCCTCTTCTTCTTCTTCAAAGGCAGGCCATCCGACAGTCATTTTATTAGAAGACGATAAGTGAATATTCTTCTCTCTCATTTGAATACCCTTAGAAGGAGCACCGGGTGATCGAGGTGAAGAAGCTCGACGGAATATTCTTCTCTCTCATTTGAATACCCTTAGAAGGAGCACCGGGTGATCGAGGTGAAGAAGCTCGACGAGTCCTATGAGCCACGGGAGAAAGAGGAACATCAGCCCCTGCTTCACCTTTGGTTTCATCCTCCTCACTGGATGTTTCGAAGTCATCACTTTCTTCGGAATCAGCTGCTTGTTTCCCTTTGCGGGAAGATGTAGCGGGCTTCTTTCCTTTTTGGGAAGATATAACTCTCCGAACCACAGCTTCTGATTCTAGTTTGGAAATCTTCTTCTTCGCAACAGGCGTATTGGCGGCTAAAATCCACCGACAGTAGAGAAAAGTCAAATGAAGATCAGGCTCAGCGGCGAGCAAACTAAATTGAGATTCGGTACAGCCAGCAACATTCCAGAACCAGGCTCGTACTCCATCGATAAGGCCTCCGCAGGTTATCAACCATTTATTGGGATTCCCAACATATAATTGATCGTAGCCGAATTGTCGCGCAAATCAGCAAGGAAAATAAGGCTCGATCCTGCATAAGTTCCTCGACCGGAAAACATTATAACCTGGTCGAATGTTCATAAGCCAATGGAAACTACCCATGTCGAGAGAAGTCCTGTTGGTCCCAGACATTTCCTCATCAATGAGCGTGTCATTATATGCACCAGAAAATCGAGGGAAACATTTATAAAATTCCCAGCACTTAGCATTCTTAAACTGCCTCACCCTGTCAGACCATTGTCGAGAGGGATTCAGCCATTTACATCCTTCCAAAAGCTGCAGCAAAGGAATTTTTGGATCAGACACGTCAGGTGCTGACATCATGTCCGTTCGATGGAGGACCAGCCACACCATTAAGTATGTGTATGGCAATTCAACGCTCGACAATGGAATCTTAGTCGAAGGCTCAGCATCCACTTTTGTAAAGGTGTTAGCCAGGTTATGCAAACCGCTGTGGATGTCAGCAATCATGGCGGAGAGTAAAGATAACCTACCTCCGATGGCTAATTGTATGGCGGGAAAGAGAACCTCAAGAGGAAGCGCCTCAGAAGACTGATGTGGCACTACACATTTCTTTAGCCATATACCCAGATAGCCGGAAAGGAGGGTCTCAGGCCTCATTCTCTTTGTGGATTGCCACAAGAAAGTACTGAATTTTGTACCCCTAAGAAAGCCACCTTGGGATGACTCGGTTCTATAAGACTGAGCATTAATCTTTGTGATTAGCTTATTAACATCAGAAGGGGTCAGAATAGGTGATTCGCAGACAGCTTCACCGGTCGGGCTTTCAAGATTCTGGAACAAGTAATCGGCGAACTGCTTTAGACTGACTCGAGCTGTCTTCTTACTCTTTACCTCGATCCTGGCTATCGCTATCTGGTAATGACAAGTTAATTCCCAGAGAATGTCATAAGCAGGAGAGCCAACCTTCTTCATCTTCATAAGTTGACGATTGTTGGAAAAATATTCTTGATAAGGAGTATTCCCCAATGGCAATCCAGATACTTTCATCATTTCGTGGAGCGGAAGTCCTAACTCCCCATACTTGGTAAAAAATGTATTGGTCTCTGGATTATAAGACTCGAACAATACGAGAAAATGATCTACACTTACTGGAAGACCATGCATGCTAGCTCTGATTGGGGCATGTAATCCCAAGTTCGTCAATTCCTGGCCCTAACGATTGAGTACATAATTGGTCATCCTGGACCACCATTTGTCTGGGAGCGAATGAACCCATCCATAACATCTGAATCTCGAAAGGGGGAATTCTCTGCCAATCTGAGCGAGCCTATTCTTCACCGTGTTAGCTTTTATCATCAGTTCATTCTGAGGCCCACTATCTGGTCCAAGTATCCCCGGGTGAAGACCACGAATAGTATGCCTACCACTGGAGCCAGGAGCACTAATATCCTTACCAATGAACCCGCAATGAATGCGTTCATGGTCATCTGTCAAGTTCCACGACATTTTCCTCGAAACGGCCAAATTCCTTAATTGCAGAATGGAATACTGTCAAGGGAATGGGGGAAGGAATAGAAAATCACCTTCGTGTTCATTCAACCAAATCTCGGGACCACGGCAAAGATTATCCGGATCTTTAATCGAATCCCCGAACAAATAATCAGGCTTCTTTAACGGTTCGGTGGAATCTCGAATGAGAGTTAGGGGTGAGTCAGTCAGCAAAGCACGCAGAGTGCGACGACTTCCTTCACGAATCAATTCAGGAACGCTATCGTCACAACCCTCACTAAACTGACGGGCCTCTCTAATCAGAAAATCGCTGTTGAAGGAGGCATGAAGAATACCACTCTGGCCTGGGTCTTCTCTATCAGAAAAGACCACAGAAGAAAAGGGAACTGCATAGAAAAGTTGGAAAATAGTTGAATAAAAGAGGCTAACAGAGCAAAACCCCTGCTCTAAGTAGCCGCAGTGGTATTCACTGCCGCGCGTTACCGTGGCAGTGTATGCTGCCGCGCTCAGCCGCGGCAATACGGGCTGTCGCGGTAACTGAACAGCAACTCCAGGCTTCAAAGAGCCGTGAGTTTGAGCCAAACTCATGTTTTGGCTGTGGTACACATCTTGATTAAACAAGATATGTATTTTGCAGCGTCAATTCCTTCGGAGGAGGATGTCAACTCTTCCCGGATGCCCTCAAAGGGGGCAAGCGAGGTTATACGAGCAAAAAGCAGTAATTTTGAATGGAGGAAAAGTTGAAAAATCACCTCCAAACGAAGTGGCAGCGGCCTCCGTCTCCTCCGACGCCTGGGCTACAGATTTGCCCTTGGGAACTCTGGATCTCTTGGGTGACATGGTTTCTGACCTAGAAAACACAAAAAAGGTTAGGGTTTTCGAGTAAAATTCCAAATACAAAACCAAGATGAACCCTAGATACATGAGAGGTGTGCTATCTTACCAGAAAACGAAGAGGAGCAAGTTTAAAAAGTCGAAGAATCAACAGAAGATTGGAAACCAAGAGGAGCAGTCGAAACCCTAGGTTTTGTTGGAATAAAATCACTCAAATCCGAAGAGATGGGGAAGAGGAAAGCCAGAAAAATCCTTTTATAGGATATTTGAGGAGGTTTCAAACGCAAGAAAGCGGGGAAGAATGACCCGAGAAGGCCCAAAGTCGGTCTTATAAACCCGACTGGCCGAAGCGGTGCGCGGCACTCGATACTGTCGCGCTCGAGCGCGACAGTCTATGCTGGCGCGCTCGAGCGCGGCAGTCCACACTATCGCGGCCGTTGATAGTGTCACGTTAGCGTACCACAGCCCCCTCTGGCGCGCAGAAACACTGTGCATACACAATAACTCCTTGGGTATTTGAACACATACATCTCCCGTTGTATTTGGAATACATACCCGAACACTCCGGTGAGTATATGAGTATAAACTGCATCTCCTTGAACCTCCCAACGGGTATATGAGGTTAAACTATTTCCCAAACACTCCAATATAGTATATGAGTATAAACTATTTCTCCATTCTTCGACGGCAGTTCTAATTCAAGACTTCGACAACGGCCACGCGATAAACGCAGCACCGGAGGAATCTTAGCTATTCTACAAAGCACTGAATAAGCTAAAAGATGAAGAAGTCAAGAATTGAAGTCATTTATAGACCATCTTACGCAACTTCCTCAACAAAGTACTGAAGAAATTGCAAGAAAAACTTATCATATCCAAAGTGTCCCAGACTCCTCTCCAAAATGATGAGTCTGAGATACTTTGGAGGGGGTATCTGTAGGCGTCAAAAAATATTTACAGACATCCAGATACCACTCAAGGCAAAGAGAAGACGATGAACGCCATTCTCTTAATCAGAGGGGATCATTCAAAGGAAGCGAGACAACATGGAAGAACAATGTACACACCAACAGGCAGTACATGGCGGCGCGGCTAAGGCGCCGGCAGTACATGGTGTCACGGCTAAGGCGCCCCAGCCTATGGTGCCGCGGCTATTATAGGGGGGTGCTGCGACGGTTACAAGGCATTTATACGATGATTTTTTAAGGCCCACGTGGCGGCATATCAGAAATAGAACGTGTGCTGACGTGGACAAGCAGTTTAAACCACGAAAAAGGTGGTTAAAGGTCGTGAGAGAACAGTTTTAGGCACGATGAAACGTGGTGGTAACCACTCATTTGGCCGCGGCAGTCCATACTGCTGCGCCAATAGCCGCGGCAGCATGGACTGACGTGGCCAAAGAACAGTTGTTTGGTCAGTTATCTCGCCCCCATTTCCACTATTATGCACTGCTACCCCTATAAATACCTCCCTAGACACGAAATAAAGGACAGAGAGCAGATTGGAGCAGAGAAGGCTTGAGCTTTTGGTGATTTTGAGGAAGAAAGAGAGAATTTTCACCCTTTGACAAGCATCATTTGGTGATTCCTAGAGATCTAAGCTCAGACTTGATCTTTGGAAGAGTGAATATCTTACATCGATAAGATACTCGCTTTCAAATCTCT